ATAAGGTAAGGAGTGCTGCGTTGCCAAATTGACGTCAAAGTATTTTATGTTGTTTGAGTTAGACCTTATCAGTATTATTACAGGTACAGGTTTCTGTTATCTGTATAATAAATAAATCGAAGGCGAATGATTGAATAATTACCTATTAAGGAATGTAATGATTGATAAAAAAATTGATGACGGGAAAAATATAAAGTCTTATCATGCAAATCAAGTTTAATATTTGTTTCTTCTAATAAATTGCATTGAGTTGTTTACAAAATTCAATTTCAATCAATTAGGTAGGTACTCAATAACGTTTGCACACTTTGCTTTTGTTATACATATTATTATTAAGTATACACTATAGCTTTTTGCTTTTTTCCTAACGGGTGCGGAGAAAATTATTTATTGTTTTTACGATTGACAAAAACAGCAGTTTTTGCGACAAGAAAAGAGGCGAAGCCTAGTTTGGTAATGTTTTCAAGTTGCAGAAAATGATTTTTGACGAAAGTTGTTTTTTTTTTCATTGGTCAGAAAAAAAGTTTTTTGCAGATGCTAGATTGTTTGTGCGATGGAAGATTTCGATTTTGTTGGAATTTTTGATATTTTTATGTAACATTTATCAATAAAATCCAAGAATCGAACAGTAACAGGATGGCTCATCCTAATAAGGCGTACGTTGGCCAATTCTTGGGTCGGCAAGGTCTGCGAGTGACGTCACCACATTAGCAGCCAATAGTGAAGACGTCACCCACAGACCTTGATGGAATGCTTGCGATTGAGGCTGTGCTCGTTATATGATTTTTTCGTCGATTTTGAATGTAGAAAAAAATGAATTTAACAAAATTTCAACATCTTTATAGATAACGTCCTTAGTGTTTGAGATACAGTAAAGATAATGGGTTTAGGACTTTGGAAATAAAACTTTTTTTTTTAAATCATGCCGACGCTTCGACCATATATGTTTATTACAATGATTTTTGACGTCAAACGCCCTTGCTGGTAAAATAGCCTGTGAAGAAGACCAAATACATGGTCGAAACGTTGGCATAATTTTTTAAAGAAAGGGAGTTTTATTTCCAAAGTCCGAGAGATTTTACCGTTTAGAAATTCGTTTTTTTGACCTACAGTGTTTTAAACTCGGATAATGCATTTTACTCCAAGAGTTGAGGTCTGCGGCTAACATGACAAGTTACAGACACTTTCAGCTCAAAAAGCAGTCCTATTAGGTCAAGCGTGATTAAAAACCAAGGATGTTTGACGTTGCCTGATAATTTTTGTGACGTCATCTGGGATGCCTTAACATAATGCAAATCTCCATAAGGCACCCCAGATGCGTCATCAAGTTACCTATTACCAGACAACCTTAGGAACCTTGAAAAACATGATAATCTTTGTAATTTTTTTGACAACTAGGCAATCCATTGACCTGTCAAACGAATTCAATATGGCCGTTCAGGTCAAACACCGTGTTGTTTACATTAAGGTTACTGATAAAAATTATTGAAAAATGACTTATTCGGGGCCAGAACACAAATGCTTTTGACCATATTGAATCACGTGGTCTGGTTTGCAGGAAAAAAAAACTTTTGGCATGCACAAAAAGTAATTTTTCCGCACGCCCTAAGGGATAATTGTATTCCTAACACTTGTGAGAAATGGTATTTTCCGCAATAACTATTTTCTTTTTTCGAATTCGAAATGGAAAAATTTTCCGCCCTGCAGCAGAACAAACGACGTTTCACTTTAAAAGCCAGTGCTTGCTCCTAGAAAAAAAAAATATTTTTTTATTTATACCTACTCTTTCAAAACACAAAATTTTTAATTTCAATTTTATTGAATTTTCAATTTATTCAATCATAAGCAGTACAATCAAATTATATAAGGTTATTATTTTCTCTGTCAACTCAAAAGGCCGGGATAATTAATAAACAACTGTGGTGGCGTGACGTGTCGGCGTGTCGCTGATTCCAGTCTAAACATGAAAATGCCAAAAATTGCAACGAGGCATATAAATTGTTTAGGGCGGGTATTATAAAACTTTTTTGACACCTAGCAGAGAGTTAACTTGTGGAATTACTATGGGAAGTAACGTCATTCCAGAAGTTAACTTTTAAGTTAACTGTCAAAATAGTTTTATAATACCCACCCTTAGTGACTTCCGCCAAGCTCTCGTGTCGTTCCGCGACATGATACGAATGGTTCAATTCAAAAAACGCCTCAACCATTAACGCGCGTTGCTCGTTCGACCACTGCTCTATGTTTACTGATAATCTGCCGCAGTCGCCGCAAATTGCCAGCGCTAACCCCTACACAAATAATAGGTTGGCTGTACATGGAGCGTTCGGAGGAAAATTTACTCTGAGTCACCCTGTATTAGGTAGTGATTTTGCTGCTTGTTTTTCAATGTATTTTTTATGTGCCGTTTATCTTATTTATATTGTTTCTTTAAAGTGATCACGTCAAGCCTACAAAGTGACGTTGGCCTTACAAGGTCGTTAAAAAATTGCGAATAAATATGACTGAGTCAAAATCAAGTTCATAAAAGTATGCTATGCTTTAGACGAACATATTGATAGAAACTTACCCAGAAAAATCCATTCGAGAGAAATAAAATTAGGTAGATTTATAAATTCAAAATGGAAGTTGATTAATAATGGTGAATGATAATAATAACTAGGTGGGTAATAAGCACATAAGGTTCAATAAAAAAAATAAAATGAAGGCGGTTTGAAAGAGAAAGAAGTTTTCTCCGCTTGGGAGTTGAACAACTAATTTGATTCCAATTTTAGCTAATTTGTTATAGTGACGTAGCGTTTAGGGCAATTAAAAATATGGTCGTTGAGTCGAAATTTGTTTCATTACACTTGTACCCTCGGGGTGAACCTTCGGGGACGCCAAGTAAAAGCTATTTTAAAAGTTTTCAGAAAATCTTTGCTCAAAGACTTCCTACTTAGTTTTCACAACTTCGATGTTTTCAGCGTTCCTTAAGAGTTCCTTGATATGCCTACAACACCTATTTTCATCTTTAGCAGGCACTTACGGGTTGCCATACGGGATAGTGAAGACTGGAAGGAAGGTGCTCCAATTAAATCAGACGACATCTGCTACACCGACGGCTTCAAGACCAACCAAGGATTGAAGCTGGTATCTACGGAGACAGACCAAAGGTGGAGATATCCACAAGTCTCGGACAGCACGTAACGGTGTTTCAGGCGGAAATAATGCACTGTGCCATACCGATAAATGAATGACGAATGAAGGTTAATAGTAGAAGCATCATTATTTACTCGGACAGCCAGGCGGCCCTTAAGGCAGTCAGCTCCAAGCTGGTTGGAGACTGTATACATGCCTTAGTGGGCCTGTCCAACAAACTTACCATAGCCTGGGTACCAGGCCATGAAGGACACCCAGGAAATGAAAAGGCGACGACTTAGCCAAAGGAGGCTTAGCAACTGGGAGAATTGGCTAAGAACCATTCTGCGGATTCTCTGCAGGCATTTTTTAAACATCTTTCAAGAACTGGATAGACAGAGAGTTCCAGAGCTGGTGGCAGCAAACAACAGGACAACGACAGGCGCAGCAGTTTACCAAATCCTGCTCGCCCAAGTTCACAGGGGACCCACTAAGCCGGAAGATTGTTAGGATAACGCATTTAACGGTAGGCCAATTAACAGGGCATTGTAAACTTCACAAGCACCTGGAAAGAATGAGTCTGGTAGAGGATAGACTGTGCAGGTTCTGCCAGGAGGCGGACGGGGGCGTATATGTGTGGTGCCACTGCGAAGCGCTATGCAGGCTTAGGTTTGCGAGGCTTGGAGAGGAAAAGCTCAATCCGGCATGCTATAATATAGAGTGGCCAGTATCATGTATCTGGAGTCTATAAAAAAGACTGATCTAGAGAACGCACTTTAGGGACAGATAGGACACACCACAATAAATCTGACAAGGTCTCCATTGAAACAAATCTAATCTCTAGAGAGTTCCTTTATTAAATTTAAAAACATTTATCTGCGAATAATGATAGCGATATCAAAGACAATTATTTTTGGAAAAAAAAAACGTCTCGCGTTTCCTACCCTTTTAAAATCCGTCCGATATTATTATCTGTTTTTCTTTTCCATCGGGTTCAGCTTGTCTCTGACTCTAAAGAAGTCAAAAGGTGGAATCCAATTTAATTTACCGCCGTTTAACCTGTTGATAATAGGATATCATTGATATCGGACAAAGCAACCAAATGGAATGTTTTAAAATATATTGTCGGAGTGTTTGTGCGTGTTCCTGAATTTGCAATTAAATATTTGGATTATACAATTCCGTTCCGATGTGCATGAAACATTTCTTTTCGTAATGGAATTTGAAGGCGTCGTCTGCAATGAGAGTTTATCTTCAACCTATGTCTACAGTGTGACCAGTAAGGTCTATACCTTTTTAATAAAAGAATTTTTGAGAAGTTTGAGTTTATGATCAAAAGCCTATAGTTTTATGCTAAATGGTTTTTGCGAGAGGGGATCGGGAGTTGTTTTAAACAGTCTCTTGAAAATTCAAAAGTCTTGTTTTTTGCATCTTCTGTTGTTGGGTTTTTTCGGTTTTCCTTGCGTTCTGATTTAATTTTTTGCTCATAATTATTTTAGGAGAGCCTGGAGGTTTCTGATATCTCCTCCATGTTCCTCAAAGCTTCCATGTTCCTCAAAGCCTTTTCGACTATATTAAAATAATAAATTAAATTAGGCAACATCTGCTTGGCCTGGAGGCTAAAGAAGACCGGCAAAAGTTATTTTAAATAATTCAAACAAAGTTTTGCATTCATTGACCCTGAAAGCAGTTTCTACACGAAGTTTGATACTGTTTTAATTTTCCTGAGAAACGCTACATGCTCAAATTATTTGAGCTTGAACCAAACAAAATCATATAAAAGTAAATTAGACTATGAACTCTAAGAGTCGAACTGAATCCAACCCGTCTGTAATAATGCTAAATTCGTATATTAATTATTTTGTGTCTCTTGTCTATTCCAGGTAGTAGGAAAATGGTTCAATTTTTTGGAGCTTAATCAGGAATTTCTAATATTCGACCATAACCTGACCACAACACCCGTGTCGGCTTGCTCATTGCCTTGTGAAGTAGGCATGATCAAAAAGCAACAGGTAAGCAAATAAGGCTAATTTCATGTTTAAATAAATACAGAGCTATATTATAAATTAGCCAGATCTTTACAACGGTACGTAGCTGTTTGATATTAGCAAACATACTACAAAAATTAATGAATATTTGGATAGAGCAGTAAACGATTTTATTTAAATATTTTAATTTGCTAAAAATCGATTTGACTGATACGAGTATTTTCCTAAAAATAAATAAATAAATATTTTATTAACGGAAATTTTCTATAAATTCAACAATTAAAGAAATATTAAGAACAAACAAACAGGACCTTTCTAATGTTCTTCCAGCATAATAAACAATTTTGATACACTTTATATCAGTGAGATCCGAATGCTGCCTAGATACAAATCCCATTTGTTTCAATCCTTTCTTACCACATTGCATTTGGTTTTTAAAATTTAACTGCCCATCAACAATTATGCCAAGATCACGAATACTAGTAGTCATTTCTAGATCTAAGCGATTTATATTATATCTATGGATAACATTCTCAAGTTTTCTACTAAACTGAATAACTTTACATTTGTCAATATTCAATGACATTCTGTTAGAATTACACCATTCACTGAGCTGATCTAGATCATATTGTAAATTAATACAATCCTCGATTGATTTTATAACAGAGAATAATTTCAGATCATCAGCAAACAGAAGCGCCTGACTAAAACTAAATCATTAATATAACAGTTAAAAAACAATGGTGCTAAATGTCCACCCTGAGGCCAGAACTCACAATTATGTCGTTAGAAAAGTAATTTTTATACCTAACGATTTGCTTTCTATCAGTCAGATAACTTCCAATCGAAGATAAGAGTGGACCATAAATACCAAGGCAACCCAACTTTGCAATTAAAATTTTGTGATTCCCTCTGTCAAACGCCAAAGTCAGTGTAAATGACATCCACCTGATAACCACTCTCCAAAGAGTCAAACAATGTGTCAGTATACTAGCATATTTGTGCCAGTTGATCTTTCTTTGCAGAAGCCATGCTGCTAGGAACTATAATATTTTTGATAAGCGGAGTTATCTTGTTTGAAATTATTGATTCCAACATCTTGGCAAAAATATTCGTTTTAGAGATTGGCCTATAATTTCCAGTTTTAGAACGATCACCATTTTTAAAAATTGGACTAACAAAACCAACCTTCCAATCACTAGGATATATTCTGATTTGTAGTGACAAATTATGTAACACACATAGGACATTCACACGACTTTACAAAAAATACAGTTAAACCATCCGGGCCCGCACCGAAGCGGTCATTAAATTTTTCAATACACTCGAAGACTTCAACAGTAGTTATACACAAAAAACTTAATGAATCATTTAATCTCATGTTAAATAATATGGCGAAAAGAAACAAACTGCTAACTTTTCCACGTCCTATATTGAATTCCTAATACAATCGTCTTATTTGTATGACTTTTGTCTCAAATATTGAAATACATCCGAGCACGTCTCAACTTCTGACTTGTTAATTAAGAACTCCCAAACTTTCTACACCAATCATGTAATAGGGAAGTACACCTTTTGTCGGTAAAAGCGACAATAAATTTTCTGCCAAGCCGACGTAAAGTTGAGGTAATCCAATATCTTGGTAAATTTTATTAAATTTACATGACTTCCAGTGGCTATTAAGCAATCTATGTCAGCATTGCCAATTTTTATAACTAATAACATTAACAATATGTATCGTCTTATGGGTACCACCGAAAGAGTGTAACTGCTGAAAAAGGTAATTTTACATTGACATGCGAAAGTTTTATTCCATTTGGAAGATTTGGCTTTTGATGTTCTGTATTTACACAATCCTCAAATCGCAGACATAACAACGTGAAGAATTTTCTGCTGGAAATTTAACAAAGCGGAACACTTTGGGAATGAGACCCCTATGAGGTTCGTCAATTTATGTTGAGCGATTAGATGGACGCATGCCTTGTTCAGGGCGGAACTATAACCTCACTTCCCGGATAAGTTCATTTACGAGGTTTGAACCGTGGTTTAAACGCCTTGAAAATATTATCAGCATCTTACAGATATCGCTTGTCAGCACTAAATCCCTATTTAGAAGAAAAAGGTCGGACATTTTTTCACAATTCAGAAATTATTTTGCCGGTGAAGATGTGGCGTCGTTTGGGTTTGGGCGGAAAGTGGCCTTCTTCTCTACTCGGCCAAAATTGAAGACAATTGAATGTCTTTCATGTTACCGAATCACTTTCGGAACTATATATGAACTTGCAACCGATCGAAGAGAAATGAGAGATTATGTTTAATTAAAAATCCTGAACTTGGATCTGGTTACAAGTTACAATAGAGGGAATGTCTGATGTAGATCATCAACAATCAGAACAAGTCGGAACACTCTAGGAATCGCCAACTCGGCGCTCAATCAGTTGCTCACATATGAGAATGTTGTCCACTTTAATGGAGAAATTTGAATCTACATAGATAAAGCTTTTAATTTTGGCGTCATGCATAGCAACTAAAATTTTTGTTTGACTCACAACAGAGCATACATATTCATAGGGCTCACATTCTTTTTTTGATTAACATCTGGGCTGAAATAATCAAAGCGTTTTACAGTAGTCGTGGAAGCTCTCAAAAAACACACACAAATTTAATTTTATTCGGAAACTTTCACAATTTTCAGCTTCAAGTCCAGCACTTATTAAATTTCTCTAGGCAACCGTTTTTAACAACTTTTTTATTGCTGCCATTGCATCAAATTTAGTACCTAAATGAAAACTATAGGCAGAGTTATTATTGAGAGATTCAGCGAAAAGCGGCAATAAAAGCAAATTTTTGTTACATTTTCATTAGATAGGTATCTACTTACCTGTCGAAAGGGAAATGCTTATACAATTTCCTTAAAGCTTAGGAACAACTTTTAACTAAGAAGCAATTAGATTGACGCCCGCGTAGCTAACTAGTCTGGTTAAAACGCCCATTCAGTTAACAACACCGGCTTTGCTCTATAGAAGAAAATGACCGTGCTTAGAAATTCAGATTACCTGATTACCTACTTGCTATTCGCATATTTATGCCTCATCACCTTCTTCTAAGATAAGCTCAAGCTTCGGTCGTGCTTATTTAGGCCGATCTGTCAACGTTTTGTTTAAATAGGATGTAACATTTTCAACATCCTGTACATCTACCACTACATAGCTACTGCACCCAGTAAACTGTGACATTTACGTAAAGTTTGTATAAATTTTGAATCATTTTTTACCAGCATTAATTTCATGTTAAGTTTATGTAGCTACTAAACTAAAGGTCTGTAACTGCTTATAGAGGTCTGGCAAGTGAGCATCTTACAGGCCAATTTTAATGATGCAATAGAATGAAATGTATAGGACAAGTCGAAAGTTAAATAGAGAACGAAAACGATTTCCCCTGTTCCACCTCCAGCATGCAGCGCTGAGAACGCTGGAGATGGAACAGGGGAAATCGTTTTCGTGCTTTATTCAACCATAGATTTGTCCTATACATTTCATTCTATTGCATTAAAATTCGCATGTAAAATGTTCACTTGCCAGACCGGTATATAGGGTGTTTGGCAGAGGGCTAGCCAAACTTGGTGGGCGTATAGATATGCCCATTTCGAAGATTTTTTGTCAATACACTAATGCCCTTAAGGTCCCCGTTTTTTTTATATCATTGCTTGTGTATTATTCTCAAGAATTTTCAAAAATGGACCTCTTAACTTCTGTAACCTTTTAACTTTCTGATATTATCAAGGATACCCTACAGACCAAAAACACCCGCAACAAACGTTTTCATAAATATTAGAAAAAAAGTTAATGAAAAAAAAATGGAACTTAAGGCCACAACTGTATTCATAAAATATCTTCGAAATGGGCCTATCTATACGCTCACCAAGTCTGGCTAGCCCTCCGCCAAACACCCTGTATAATGTTTACATAACTAAATCGTTTACCTATCTACATAACATCATCTTGCTTGGTGAATTTCATATTTTAATTTTTTATATTGTGTCTATAAATACGGCCACGTACTGTGTCGCGAGTAGACGCATATTTATGTGCTCCACAATTATTATTCATTAAAACAGGGGTATATTGGTGTGCAATTATTATTTACTTTGTGCCTAAGTATAATTTAACAACTCAGCTACATACCAAGTAAGTTTGTGAACTGTTTATTGCGATTGTTTGGTAATTAAGTCCCAAAAAGTGCCTGACCAAACACACCAGCCTATTAACGTGGATTAGAGACTTACTGCAGTCATGGTCGGCGGTGCGTCAACACGCAGCGGATCCGGGTCCCGAATGGATGAAGATGCCATAGAAAAATAAAGTCTGTACTAATTTCGTGCAGAAGCTTAAGGCTAAGTTTGATGCTTAACAGGACGCATCAAAACATTCTGCCACCTAGTCTAGCCATAGCCCGAAAACCTGACCAATATAATTCGCTGTGGCTATTTTGGGTGGCATAATGTGACTACATGCGCTGCATCAGGGGTCAGAATGTCGGGACGATGATGGCGCTTTTTAAAGGGTCAGAATGTTATTGCATGGGCTAGATGCAGGGTCAGAATGTTACAGGCGATAGAGCATTAGTAATAAATTTAACAAACAATGTTTGATATTAAAAAATCTAAAACTGTCTTTTGTACGTGTTATACAATTCCGAAATTTAGATTTTATTTGTTTTCCCTATGGATTTTTTCCATGAATATATTGATTAAATTGTTAGTTTGGGTTATATGAATGTATTGATTAAATTATTAGTTTTTTGTTTGAAACAGAGGAATTAAGAAATATAACCATTGAGGACATAAGGGGTCAATGAATTTAGATTTTACAAAATTTGAATATCTCATAATTAAAAATTTAAGTGCCAAATTGTGTATGATTTTTCTTGATCAAATTGATAAGTGAAGCAAAAAAAACTTCCCTAGTGTTTTCCTTTTGTTGAAAGCCGATTAATAGTTGGCGATTTTCGGGGATAATACCACG